TCTGCATAGTTTGAGAACAAGCAAGAGAATAAAACATATTCAAAACCATCACGTATGCACACACGTGTAACTCCAGATGCAGAGGAGCCTGGGGGTCCCGCCTGGGAAAAAGTTAATGTCAGGAGAAACAGTGAAGCACTTGTTTACCCAGGCAGCTTCCCGGGCCTTGGGAATAAAGCTTCTTTCACTCTTCCATTATATAGCTCTTCGAGCGCTCTCCCAGTTGGGCAAGACATCTGCCTTCTTACCTGAATTTAAATTTAGCAAAATGCCCAATTTATTAGATATGCTTTGCCATGTTTTTTTTTTTTTTTTAGCATCAATTTAGAATCCTAATGCATTTTAAGAAGTTAGTGCTCATGACCTCCAACATCAGAACTTGGTCTCTAACTACTACATAAGCATGATCATATATTTGACTGTCAACAAGTCAAGTCCATTGGGACAGATCTCCGGTCGTCAGTAGAAGGTCACTACCACTGTGCCATCTTCACCATGAAGGTTCAATCATCTTTTTACACTATTGCTTTACTTTTTATGGTGATCACAGTTGTGGCCAAATGCCACAAGAGTGTGAGATTACTGCAGGAGCTAAATTGTTCAAGTTGTGTGGTCATGAGCAGGTTGGGAGGGACTTAGGTAGAGAGGCAGCCATCTTTAAGGCAGCCATCTTTTACAGAATCATCTTTGAGGCAGCCATTCTTGGCACCCTGGCCATTGTTCGTTCTTTCTTAAAGTTTTTATTGTGAGCGAACCTTCTCTACTTAGGCTGGCCCCACCCATTATGGGAATTCTGCTCCTGTGAAAGAAGGGGGTACTGTTTTCCCAGCTCCTATGCCTCTAGCTGATGCCACATATTATCTGGAATTGTCTACACCAGTATTCAGGAGGTTAGACTAGAAACTGGATCTAGAAATGTGGGTTTGAGAAGATGGTGAAAACACAGTGATTTTTGTATATCCTTCAAGGAAAGTGTATTTGAGAATGCTTATCTGCAGTAAGAAATGTCAGCACTGAACCATAAGATAGATACATTTCACAGTCACCAAGTGACTACTCTCTGGACAAGCATGCTGGGAGTGGCCTCAGAGTTTCCACAGGAACTGGCACTGAGGGTGCAGCTGGGAAGGGATGCTCTTTGCTGTATCATGTTAACAACAGTGTGTTGGATGTCCGCATCCTTGTCCTGTTGGAATGGCACACACGAGGCCCTCTGTCGTCTGCCTGGCGCGGGTGGAATGCAAGCTGTGTGGGAAGTTCCTTCCTGCTGATGCGTGAGCCTCAGAACTCACAGTGAAGGGAGCAGCAATGCCAGAAGCAAGGGGCAGATTTCTGAGTGTGTTTACAGTGAGACTTCTCAACAGACGTTTTGCAAACTTTGGAACATGCTAAGATTCCTTTTCCTTCAGTAAAGCAGTATCTAAGTGGATGCCTCTGAAATCTTTCTTCTGCAAGCAGTTTTCTTTTTTATTTGCTGCTTGCATACTTTTGGCTCTGTGGCACACCTGCCGTGTCAGGGCTCGGACTTCCCAGAATGGCAGTAGCAGATGGACTGTTCTATGCAGGGACAGCTGGGCTAGAGAGTTGTAGGTGCTTTCCCCAAATCCACACCTACTTTGCCTTCCTGCACCGAGTACCTTGCGTGTGTCTGTGAAGCGCTCTCTGGAGGAGTGAGAAGTGCCTCAGGCAGGGAGATCCAGCTACCCTGATTTCCATGTCTCTTCTGCCTTTCCCCCTGTACACTCACTTAGCTCTCACTTGGTGGGGAGCAGAGAGGATGGCAGAATTGCCATTCGACCTTCATGAAGACTACTGACTGCTAGGCAGGGCGCATATTTGTTACACAGCTTTTCCCTAGGGCACTAACAAGGGGAAATAAAAATGAGAACAGAATAATCCAGGCCTATTTAATCAGTGTTTCTTGGGAGCCAGCTTTGGGTCCAGGGTGTCAGGGTCCCCTTTCTTCTTTGAGGTTAGTTTCCTTAAACACCCACTTAGAATGATCAAAATCATGGCTTCGTTCTGTCTGGCTCAGGAACTAAAGGTAAGCACAATGGGAAAAAATATGATTATATTTTCATTGCCCTAAAAATACATGTTTTGCAAATAGCATCTGATGGTCTTGTTTGTCTGTTTTCTACAATCAAAGCCAGGATGGGAAAACTTAAAGAGATAAATTGTGTTTGGCTGTGGTAAAATGAAAGCCAAGTTGGTTTACTAAACATTGCCCCTGTTTTAAATATTTAGGCATATTTTTAGAAAGCACTGGCGATTTCCTAGGTCATCGTATCCAGATTTGACGAAGGGTCTAATGGCATGCCATTGAAAAACTCCTGTGGTCCATTCATGAAGTTCTTGTCCTCTGATATAGAAATGAAAATTGTAAGAATTAAAGGAAAACAAAAAAAAAAAAGCTCAAAATGCCATCTATTTTTGTAATTCTGTGATGATGCTTTGTTTATAACAAGCGCTTAATAAATACTGCATAAATCAGTAAGTGGCTACGTGTAGACGTTAGGATTGTCACCTCAACCCCTGGCACCATCTAGCATCTAAAATTGTTTTCCTAAAGATTCAAATCCCTCTCACATCTCTTTCCTAGTAACTTCCGTCCTTGAGACAAATACACCCAAATATACACACTCCGCTCAACTCATGGAATTTTCCAAAGGAATAGGAAACTAAGACTCAAGTGAAGATACTCCGTGTTTTGATATTAGGATAGGTCTTTTAGAGATAAATGTTGGAAGCCAACAAAAATAGCATCAAGCGGAAATCATGCAGGCAGCATGGGAAACATCCCAGACCTACCCCACGGGAGCTCGGACTGTCAGGGTTTTCAGTCTCCTTCGCATTAGTTTGGCTGTGGGCATGTGCAAAGCAGGGTGCAGCGGTGAAGGCCACCGCAGGGCTCAGTCCTGAGCAGCCAGCCCTGCCTTGACCTCCAGCCACGGGAAGTAGCTGCCTTCCCCTGGCCATCAGCTCCGAGATCCCCGCACAGGCCCCAGGCATATTCATGAGAGAGCCTGCATTTCAGGGTTCCCAGATTGCATTTGCCAACTTTCCATCCCTTTGACAAAATATCTGAGAAGTCAACTTATAGGGGGAAAGTTTATGTGGTTTCAGAGGTCTCAGTCCATGGTCCCTTGGCATCATGGTTTCCGGGCAGTGGTGTGGCAGCATCGTGGTAGGGAGCCTTGGGGGAGCCAGGAAGCAAGGCAAGAACAGAAGGGAGGAGGAACTGGGGAAGAAACATGACCCCACGTGGCGCATCCCAAGGACCCACACCCCCAACTAAGCCACCTCCTAAGTTTCCATCACCTCCCCGTAGCCCACGGACTGAGACCCCACACATGGATGACTCCATTGGTCAGTCAGAATCCTCGTGCCCAGTGCCTCCCCCAGAGCACCTCTGCTGCTGTCCCGGGGACCAGACCTGCAGCATGTGAGCTTTCGGGGTGTATTTCAGACCTAACCCACAGCACAGACTCTGAAAACTCTTTTCTGAAGAGACACTGAGACCCCTGGTCGGCCTTTCCTCTCCCCTCCCCTGCCGTGGTCTCAGAGTGTGGAATGACCTTTTCACTTCAGCCCTGTCCCCTCCTCCTCCTCCGGAGAATGTCCTTTTGCTTCTCGTGGTGTGGACCTTCTCAGACTCGAAGATGAAATCCACGTCGGGCCTATGCCCCTGTAGTTCCACAAATTTGCAGCACAGCTCCAACTGTCATGGTACAGGGGATACAATCGGGGGTGCATGGGGTGGAACCTGCAGTCCTAAACCCTGGGACAGGAATCTGAATCCACAGGAAGTGATAGTTCATGGATCCCCAAGAAGATAGAAAAAGTGTGTGAGGGCAAAGCATGAGAGGGACATCGGGAAATCTACCTTAGGAGACAGAGAGCCCCTCTGTGACAATGCCCAGTGTTCGCTGTCTGTGGGCTGAGCACCCCTGGGGTAGCTGTCTATAGGGTAACCATCTCAAAAGACATGAGTGTATTTCTTTGTTTCATGGTTAAGTTAGTTTTCATATTCCTGTGTTGAATCTGATCTCACCATGTCCTGAGTTTTCAAATCTCACCTGTAAAACAAGCCTTCCTTTTTCTAGAAAGCCATGTCTGTCTTTCTGGGAATGCCTTGCTGAACAAGGGCAGCCTGGGGGCCTTCCCGAGGCCCGTGGCTGGCTTCACTCAGCTACTTCTGCTTCCTTCCCCTCTCCACTGGGCCCCGCTCTGGCTGCCTCTCCCATCTGCCCTTCTGCCTGCACCCCGGCTGTGGCTGTGTCTGTGTCTGTGACTCTTCAAAGCTGCCGGCCCTGAGATTGGCTGCAGCTCTAGGATTTCATCCTGAGGTCTCCAGGGCAACATCAGTCTGGGTAAACCCTTTGCAGGTGTCCCGGGTGCCACCTGGCAGCATCTGTTTCCTGTCATCCAGGTGGAGCACACGGCTGCTTGCTGTTCCCTGCAGGAATCCCACAGACAGTTCCCATGACAGCTTCAGGAGGAGCCAGCTCGTGGCACAGCAGCCAGCTGGCAGCTCTGTCCTCTGTGTGTTAGATGGGGGCTGAAACAACTGGAATTTATTCCTAAATTCAAGATCGAGGTGCCAACAGCTGGTGGCTGTGAGGGCTCTCTCTTGGGGTTCAGAGCGTCTCGTCACCTGACAGAGACAGCGAGGCCAGGGCTCTGCTCTCATCCCCTTATAAAAGCAGTAGTGCAACCTCACAGCTCCATCTGAAGGACCCCATCTAACCCAATTCACCCCAAAAGTCCCTACCTCATAAAATGATCCCTGTGGAGGCTCAGGCCGCCACCTCCTGGTTTTGAGGAGACACAATCAAACCATACTGGTACTAGACCTGCCTTTCTGCTCCTCTACCCACCTTTCTGCCTGGATGTCTTCCACCAGCCCTTCCCGGATGTTCTGGGTATCACACAGTCCCCAGAGCCGAGCTCTTCAGCCGCAGTCATAGTGAAGAATTTCTCTCTTCCTCTTCCGCCAGGAACTCCCCTGATGAATGCAGCGTGGCCAAAGGCGGGAAGATGGTGAGCAGCCCGGACACGGTGGGCGTGAACTACGGCAGCTACATGGAGGAGAAGCACATGCCGCCCCCCAACATGACCACCAACGAGCGCAGGGTGATCGTGCCTGCAGGTCAGCGCTGTCCCGGTGTCCCCAGTGGGGTGGTGTAGGGTGGCTGTGTTCCTCCCACCCGCGGGGGCCCTGTCATACCTCAAGCATCCCCAGGGGTGCTGAGAGCAGCAGGAGTTTGTCCGCATAGGGTGACACAGTCATGTTCACTGGTTCTCCAGAAAGTGAGCCAAGGAGAACAAACACGCGTCTGTGTGTTAGCGTCTCAGAACAGGGGAGGGGGCAGCGTGTGACTCCGGCCCTTTATTTGGACAGATAAGAATACACACAAGAAGAGAGAGGGGGACTGTCCAGGAGACAGGTGTCCGCTGCTTCCACATCCATGCACACACATGTGTGTCCATGTGTGAGCGTGTGTCTGTGAACCCCGACCTTCCTGGCGAGGACTCGCTGCTCCCTGAGGCCACTTGGTGAAAGACAGCCCCTGTCTTTTGTGATGTGCTGGTGGTAATGCTTGATAGGCTCATTTGCTCTTTGCATCTTCTTATCCAACAAGATAAGAAGTTGGCGTCTGTATATTCTTCCCTTCAATTGTTTAAAAACACCAAGAATCGCAGTTAGCACCGGCTGCAGTACGGATTATAATAATTAGGATGAAGCTTTCTCCTGGAAGTCATCAGATTCAGAGCAGCTCTGGGGTGTGAGGTAAAGGCCAGACGTATTTATTTAGTGAAATTGAAGGTAGCAGAAAGATGGCTTGCAGTTCCTCCCAGACGCGTGCTGCCTAAAGCCACGCCTGGGACCGCAGCAGTGCTGCTGCAGTTACACAGCACTGGCCACGTCACCTGGCAAGTCTGGGGGACCCTGTACCCAGAACCCCCGCTGAGGAAGGTGAACCTCCAGGAGGCTGCCTGGAGGCTGAGCACCTGTCCCCTGCCTCTCTGGCCCCCACCAGCCATGGCTGGGCTGTGGGATCAGCAAAGCCTGAGCCCGTTCATCCCTTGGCCCCCTCCTCATCAGAGCCCTGTGCATTCAGGGCCCTGCGAGCTGCAGGCATGTCCCCCATTCCTGCTGGAGTTGCCACTCCCTGTGACGTGCAGTCCCCGCCTCGCTCAGCTTCCTTTATTTCCCTCCTGCCCCCTGGTTTATGTCGCACGGTGATGTGGAAGTCACTCTGCACTCCTGCCCCTGCCAGGACAGATGAGCCCCCTGAGGCATCACCTGCAGGGCCAACTGGGGGGCACCAACAGGGTGCTGTGTGCTGACCACTGGGTGCCATCCTGAGTGAGACACACAATTGTTTTCCCCTCACTCCTGGGCTCCCAGGCTCACCTGGGAAATGCTGATCCCCTCTCCCCCTCTCCCCCACTTCCAGGGTGTCTCTGTGGTTTTCTGCGTGGAGTGCAGGGTGCAGAGCACAGGACAAAACACCAGGCTTGGTTTCTCCTTGGGTTTACTGCCCTGTGTGGCTCTCTGCCGACTGCCTGGCTGGCTGGAGCTGCTTAGATGCAGGGAATGATCGAGGAATGATCCAGCTCAGGCCTGGCAGACTCAGCAGCCCATGGTGACACTTTCCTGGGGAGAGGACAGCTGCAGCGAAGTCCCCTTGGTTACAAAGCTGTTGACAGAGGTCTGCTAGGCAGTAGGCAGAGCCCACTCCCATGCTGTGGTGCCTCTGCATGGGTTACAGTTGCTGTCCGGTGAGAAAAGATGACCCAGGTGCCTGTCCCCGACATGTGGCAGCTACAGCAGAGCTTGGGAGCGTGGAGAGAGGGACAGGGTAGAGGGCTGCTGCTCTGGACGCCAGGAAAGCAGAGACTCTGAAGAGCCTGTCTTGCGCCGAGACACGGCCTGTGTGGGGGAGTGCGGCTTCTGCTCCGGGTGATCAGCATGGGAGGTGATGCCTGACACGGAGCCTGTTTGTCTGCTGCGCCATCCACATCTCGGATGTCCTTGACATCCAGGTTTCACTAGGACCAGCTTGAGTCTTTCGACATAAGTACTCAGAAAAGAGGGAATTGAAGCCTGGGGTAAACTGAGTCAAGTCAAAGTGTGAACATTTCTTGCACATAGTAGGTGCTCAGTAAATGTTGGGTGGCCGCATGGACCAGTGTTTCCTGGTTCCTGTTGGGGGTTGGTGTGAGACTACCCCTGCCCCTGCCCCTGCCCCTGCCCCTGCCCCTGCCCCTGCCCCTGCCTCTGGAGCCAAGTCCTCTCTGCTCTTCCCACCTCTGGTTGCTTCATGCCGAGGCTGGCAGTTATTCAGTTAACCATGTGTGTAAGAGAACGCACTGTGGCTAATTTTGCAAGTTGTGACTCTTGCAGTTATTGGTCAAGCTTCAGGTACTTGTGTTCACACACATGCAGATGAGCACGCACATGTGGGTCTCTGTTGCACAATGTGGAAGTCTCCAGCGTGGCCACACAGGGATGGGACCCCGGGACTAGGACTGTCCTGCTCCTCTCTATGCTCGGACAGCAGGCATCTCTGGGCGGTGAGCGCTCCGATCACGCAGCGTTCTCCAGAACTGGTTCTGGCCCGGTCATGTCCCCTACCCCGAGACACATTCCTTGGCACCCACAATGGAAGTCATAGAGAGAATCAATGAAAAAGCCATCAAACCACCAACTGCCCCTGGAAGTCAACAGCCATCCGTGGGCTCCATGCTGACGTCCTGGTGTCCTGATGTCCTGGACATAAACATAGTCAAGATGCACAGTTGCGAAGTTGGTTTGTGAGCTGCATGGTGACAGCCATTCTCTGTGGTGCTGAGACTCGCTCTTTAGTTAACTTAAGAGCCATGAAGACACCCAGGCACTTTCCTGCATGGCCCAGGGCGTACTGTCATTTGGTATGTTCACCCTGCCTCCTGTCACAGAATGAATCAAAGAAAGCCATAGAAATACAAGGCCCAAGTAGAAATAACTTTAAAATAAACTAGTAAAACCCAGGGGCTAAAGCAGGGGTGTAACAGAATGGAACCAGGAATGAGGTGCACATTGCGTGCCCCTGTCCTGAGAAACTCATCTAGAGCTGAAGCTGTCCTAAGTGGCAAATGGGTTTCGTGGCCCCCACCTACCGCCCACACCCGTGTAGCAGAGCAGGTGTCGTCAGACTTGCCGAGAGCCTTCATGTGAGCCACAGTGGGCTGAAATCATCCCCCCCAGGCCTATTTTATACTAAAGTCATGCTGACTTCATGTGATGTATTAAACACTGCGCTGAGAGTGAGAAGCAGGGTGGTTGTCCAGGTGCCCGGCCCAGGTCCAGTGCAACCCCTCAGCTCCACATTTGGCTCTGGCCCTGAGCTTGCATGGGGGCCGTTGGCATCATGTCCAGCCCCTGGGCAGTGTCTGTTTCTGTGCGCCTCCCCACGACTCAGTGTAACCAAGGAGTCTGCTTTCTAGATACTTCCAGCTCAGCCTCACCAAGGCTGTGGACTCAGCGCATGGTCTCGGGAGAGGGGACCAGTGCGTGTGCTGCGTGTGTCGTGATGTTCGTGGACATCTGCCATCAGGTACAGTGTCCTCCGGTGTGGGGGGTGCCTCCTGCTGCCCAGCACCCCTGGGGCAGCTGCCACCTTTGGGATCCTGGCGGGGCTAAGACTGTGCTAACCAGGGGGGTTGGCAAAGAGGAAGACCCAGTCTAGCCACTTCACTTCAGAGTTGCAAAATGCTGACCAAATTGCAATAGGACCTCTTGTTTTAGCTGCTTATGGCATTTTGAAAGATTTTTCTATTCCTGTGTAAGAGCCCTAAAATAGATGCTGCTTCTCAAACACCCTTTTTTTCTTTTTACCTTTGCACTTTTATTTTTAAAGTGACTCACTTTGAGCTCAAGCTGTCGTGAGAGTCAGCAGTCTCAGAGCAGCGTAGCCCCGTTCATCTCACCCTCACACCTTCCCGCGTTCCCAGCACCTGCCAAGGTCCAGCTCCGAAAGTCAAGTAGCTTGACTCTGAGAGCGGGATCCCTGGACCCCGCTGCATCTCGGCAGCTTCCTGACCTTGTGGGACCCTGAGCCAGCTGCTCAGAGCACAGCCCAGGTGGCCAGTGCAGATGAGGCTTGAGTCCCTGCACTGTGATGTCTTGTGCAGGCAGCACCTGGATGCCCAGAATCACAGAGGCCCACGCAGCCCTCCAGTGACCCTTCCTCACATGACATCCCGAGCGGCCCTCGGATGCTTGGCTGCATGCTGCCCCCGTCACCTGTGGTGTTTAGGAGCCGGGCTCTTCCGTTGCGTTTACCTTTGTGAGGTAACCATGGTGTCTCCTGTTCTTTGTCAGCAGACAAAGCAGGGGGTGCAGGGGCTGTGCGCAGGAAGCAGTGAAGGCGAGTGACCGAGTTAAGGGCAGTCCAGTGCTGGGCAGCGGGAGTCTCGGAATCCAAGGTGTGACAGGCGTTTTGGTCACCTCGGTTCAGTGTCTTCCTTCGAACCTGAGAATGTGCAGACAAAAGAGGGAAAGTGACTTCCCAGGCCTCAGGCCCGGCCCAGTGACACCAGAGCCAGTGCCCTGGCTGAGGAGAAGCTGCTGGTGACAGCTTTCCTACACTTTATGACACCCTGAAAGTCCCAGGGGTGTCACCCACCGTGTCCATGCCATGGGCCATGCCCCACAAGCCTCTGTTTAAATCCGTGCTATGCCAGATTCAATAGCCAGGTGGCCAAACCAGCAACGAGTCAAAGTCTAAAGCCACCACGAACTCTGTAAAGTAATCAGAGAACGGCATAGGTGAAATATTGGAAGCCATAGAGCTGGAACCGTCCCAAAGGGGGCTCAGCGCATGGTGGAGACACAAGTGGAACTGGATCGCTATAAACCAGCCCATGCCGGTTCCAAGGACGGCACTTTCACAGCAGATAGACGAAAAGTGGGGCAGTGGTCAGGACAGAAAACTCAACAGAAAAATAGCATGGATGATAGAAGAATGCCCGCAGCGGCCCGGGGGCACCTGGTGCAGAAGGTTCTGCTGGGCTCTTAAGCACCTCCCTCGCTCCTTCCCTCTCTCTCTTTCTCTGTCTGTCTGTCTCTCTCACTACTAACCTTTGTGGTAATCGAATCAA